GGTCTTTCTGCAAAAATCTTCATTTTGGTGGCATACGTTCTCTTCTACTTGGCAGTTCAGGATAGTTCAGCTTGTGTGAATGTGTCTTTAGTAGGGTAATGTAGGTCTGTGTGATGAGATCTATTGAACTGAATCCCCAGTTCCTTGAAAGAGACTGTGGCCTTGTTTCCTACTCCCAGAATGCAGGCTAGAGTTCAAGTGGCTGCAATTCAGGGAGGGACTATTATTTCCAAGGGCACGTTTCCTAAACATAGCTTTGTATTCTCTGTCAGAGGGCAACATCAAGAAAAACTAGCCTTGTGAGAAGGAAAGTTGCACTCTGGTGGACTGATGTTATCCCGTGAGGACCTAGAATCTTTGTTCAGAGCTTTTCACGTTCCTACTTCCAGAACTTCATCCTTTAAAGTGACTGGCTCCATGGGGATCCTGCCCTCCCCCTACCAGCTGTGCTGCCTGAACCATAAGACTTACTGCTGATAGTGACCACAGCTGAATTTCTCATTGGGATTGTGGGGAATGGACTCCTTGTGATTTGGAGTTTACGTGACCAGTTCAAGACCTTCAGAACATCCTCTTATGGTCTCATTGTTCTGGGGCTGTCCATTTGCAGGTTTCTCCCACAGTGACTGCTCATGATAGATTTAAGTGTACACTCCTTCTTCTGGGAAGGCTTCTAATTATGCTGTATCAGAATTATCTGGCACTTCATAGATGAGGTCAGCCTCTGGTTTGCCACTTGTCTCGGTTTCTTATTTTGCATAAAGCTCACAAACTTTGCTCATCTTGCTTTCATGCAGCTGAAGCAGAGGGTCGTGGGATTTGGACTCTGTTTCCTGCTGGGGTCCCTCCTGGTCACCCTGCTCATTCCACTGATGAGTTCAAAGTCTTTTCACCAAGTCCCAGGGAATATCAATACCTTATTCATCTCCAGAGGCCAGCATGATTTGTCCATATTTTGGTTTAACACAGGAAGCTCAGTCCCTTTCACTGTTTCTTCTTTTCTCTTTGAAGAGACAGCACAAGAGGATGTGGTACCATGTACAGAGTAGGAGGGATGCTTGAACAGAGGCTCATACTGCTGCTTTAAAGTACCTTATCTCCTTTCTCCTCTTTTATTTTATCAACTCCCTGGCTACCCTTTTCCCATCATCTTCAGGTTTTGTCCTGTTAACCTCTTATTGTTGTTTTTTGTCCTTTGTTCTCAAAAAGGACCAGTGACATCATGAGGAGGATGTCCTGACTTGCATGTGAATTGGATTTGAGTGAAGCAGAGCTGGGCAAAGTCATCATCCTTGCTCCCCCCCCAGAGTCATCAGAGTCCAGTGGCAAGACAAAAGTCAAGATGCCTGGTTGGTGGCCCAAGATGTCGTGGATGTCCTCGGTCTTTCTAAATTAAGGCTTTTCTCAGGTCTCAGTTTGTCTGAGGTCATGCCTATTCAATGCCTAAGGGCTAGATAAGAATTGAGACAAAAGATGGCCCCAATTTACCATCACAAAGATTGGTTATTTGTTGTCCATCCTGGAAGAGAACCAAAATGATATCACTATGTTAGAGTCAAATTACAGTGTGTCTGACTGTGGCTGATTAGACCAATATGAGCTTGGAATGCTTTACTACAGGTCAGGCACAAACAGTCCATATGAACATTTGGGATAGATTCTCTAAATTTGTGCATCTCGAGTTTCTTTTGAGCTACTTCAATTCTACTTTGCTCATAGAGCACAGCTCCTTCTCTGATGTGGGTGCACCATGCTGGGTGGTCCTTTGCCAGTGTCTCCCTTGTCATGCAATCAATTCCAAAGTTCTTCAGAGAGACCTTAAGAGTGTCCTTGTATCACTTCTTCTGACCACCTGGTCAAAACTGGGAAGAGAAGACCGTTTGTTAACCTTACCAAGGCGCTGATCTATGAGATGTTTGTGACTGCTTATACCTCCTTTCTTTCACTGTACTGTCTTGAGTAAAGGGAATCCCAAGATGAAACAATTCCAGAGAATTCTGTGGAAGACAGTGTGCCCTTGGAGACCCCAGAAAATGTGATCTAAGGAGGAAGACTTGGTCACAGAAAATTATTCTCAACTGCTTTTATAGCTGCCAGTGAGAAAGAAAAAAAAATTTTCTAGATAAGAGATTTTCCACCCCCTAAGACTAATTTTCTTGTCTGATTCTGAATAAAATACAGAAGAAAAGGAAAAAATGAATAGAAACCATTAATGTCTTTTCCATGATAATGCAAAGTACATTAATTTAATTAACTACAGATCATGGCTGGGTCTTTATGCTCTTGGGGAGAAAGTGTTAAATTTTCCCAAATTATAGTAAATAATAAATATACTTTCTTTTTATAGTTTAGACATAGATTTGATTTCCCTAGATAAAGAGAAATGGAGAATTGGGTCAATTATAGTGAAAAAAAAATCAATATACACTCTTGCCTCTGCTTTCAGGCATTTTTGTGGGCATTTTCAGCTGAATGTTCCAGAGCATGATTTCATTGATTCATTTTCTTTGCCTATGTGGTTGCAGCGCAGGTCTCACTATATTCACAGCCTGGTTGGCTATCAAACTCCTCTTTTCTGGTTCTAGGTTGTTTCTTGGCATTGCAGGCAGAGGCATGGTGCTCAGGAGGTGAGGCAAGTTATACAGACCATGGTCTGTATTTACGACTAAGGTTCAGGGCCCCATAGAAGGAGAGGACTGCTTCATTTACCCCTTTCCTTAGCAAATAACCAGAAAAGAAAGAAAGCTTACCTATTCTAATGTAATTCAGGATTAACCCTGGCCATGAAAAAGTCAATATTCTTTGTTTTCTGTTCCTTGATGGACCCATAGCCAAAATGCTCAAAGGTTTTCTCCTCAAAATTTCTTTTCTTCTAGGTCCATAGATATTTGTACATTCCTGTAGTGTGTGTGTGTGTGTGTGTGTGTGTGTGTGTGTGTGTAGGGGAGTGGGAGAGTAGATGGGTCTACTGATGGCAAATCACCAATTACCTATTTAGGTTACTTTGAAGAGTAATGGAAATTGTCTTTTCCACAACCCTGTTGCCTCCAAGGTCCTTGCCTCTTTACATCTTTCCCTTCTTCCCACTGTGGAATCTAGTCAGTTCTCACCTTATTTCACTGTTTCTAAAGCAAAAATTATTAATCTTTTTTTTTTCCTGGGTGTCATGGACCCTTTTGGCCATCTGGTGATGCTTCATAATTGAAAGAAAGACTAAATTTCATTTAGAAGCTAGTGAAAATAAAGATACTTTTCCCCCCTTCCAATGAAGGGAAAATGAAATGGCCCTTGGATTCAATGTTAGGAACCCCTATTCTAGAGTCCAACTTTAATGTAAAATACTATGGGTAGATTCAACATTTCTACCCTGCAAGACTAGGAACAGGTTTACTTCTCTAGATGGAACACTGGAAAGTGCTTGCTCAATTTCTTGCAATCTTATCCTTGCTAATATTACTATTTGCCAGCACTTTTCCAGCTACAACTTGATGCAATGCCCCACTGACCGAAGACCATATTCCCCATTTTTGGTATGTTATTTTTCTAAACACTTAAGCATGATCAACATTCACTCAATTGACTTATGGCTTTATTTCTTCATCTAGCAATCTGTGGTGCACACTAGGATGTTTATGGTTGTTGTCCAGCTGTTTCAGTCATGTCTGACTCTTTGTAACTAGGTGACAGCTAGGTCAGGAAGACTCATCTTTCTGAGTTCAAATCTAGTCTCAGACCCTTACTAGCTATGTGCAAGTCACTTACCTGTGTTTGCCTCAGTTTCCTCATCTGTGAAATGAGCTGGAGAAGGAAATGGCAAACCACTCCAGTATCTTTGCCAGGAAAACCCCAAATGGGGTCATGAAGAGTTAAACAACAATACAACAATAAAAGCTTGCTGACTGACTGACTGTGAATTGGCTCAGTCATTCTGGAAATTAATTTTGAATTATGCCCCAAAAGTTACTCAGCTGCACATTACCCTTTGACTCAGCTATACCACACTTCTAGGCCTATGCTCCAAGGAGATCAAGGAAGTAGGAAAAGGACCTGTGTATGCAGCAGTACTTATAGTAGTTCTTTTTTAGTAGCAGCCAACAATTGGAAACTTAAGAGATGGCCATTCATTGTGGAATGGCTGAATGAATTATGGTACATGAATGTAATGGAATGGTATTGTGCCACAAGAAAGGAAGTAATGGGTCATTTCAGAGGAAACCAGAATGAACTCTTTGAACTGATGAAGAACAAAGTGATCAGAGCTTAGAAAATAATTTATACAATGACAACAATTATAATGAAAAATGTTTACAGAGCAATAGAAGAGGGTGCTGGTAAATGTTTAACTGGATCTTTAGGAAAAAAAATACATGTACACACACTTCCAGTTTAATCTGCATTATTAAGACTTTCCGTTTCTTTGATTTTTCTCCAGGGTTGTTGTGAAGGCTCAAATGAGATAATAGATGGAAAATTTGCAAAACCTTAAAGTATTACACAAATGCCAGTTGTGCCTCCAATCTGGTAATGACTTCATTCTCTGAGCCTTCAACTGCACTCCTGCTGAGCTCAAAGCTATGTTTATACAGCAATTACAGGAGTATGGGCTCTGGGAAAAAATTTTATGCACACACGTTTTTCAGTTTAATTTACATGAACACTATCTTAAATCTAGAAATCAACAAAACAATAAATCAAACCCCGATTTGCAGCTGATTGCTAATTTCTGAGGTGTAAATACTCACACTGAAAATTTAATAATGACTCTGCACATACCCCTAGGTTTTTCCTTCTCACTCTTCTCTAGGTCTCTTCCCATCTGGTCACATTCTTTTGAAAATATGATGAAAAAATTAGATCCAGTATGCTATAATTGATTCATTAATGCCAAGAGCACTGAGTCTTTGGATCTTAGTAGTCCTTTTAATACAATCCTGTCTTTGAGATGGCTTTAAAAAAAATTTCCCTCACATTATATGTCAGAGGGAGCAGAGAGACAGAATTCATCTTGTTGACGTGATGTTCTGTATCCAAGGGACATAGTAGTAAATATTAGTGTAGACGCCAATACTCTCTCCTAGGAAATGCCCTACTTCTATCCCTTGAATTGTGTCTTGGCATATGACAGTAGCAACGGCAAGCTCCTAAAGGGAGAAAAAATAGAGAGATTGTGATAGTCAATGTTCACATTGAGAGTTATCCAGATCCTGAACTAGAAGAGAGACAAACTTGCCTCCACCACTCCCAACCTCTAGTGGAAGTATGGAGTGGCATAGCAGGAGTACTAGACTGATAGTTATGGGAATTATCATTAATTAACTTTTGTTGTGTTTTGCCATTCTAGGCCTTGTTTTCCTCATCGGCCCAATGTGTGATTGTGTGAGATGATCTTTTGAGGTTCCTTGTCCATATTGAAATATTCTGCAAGTCTATGATATCCCAGCAAGAGGTACAGGGATTGATGCCACATTGTTCCTGGCGAGGTACCTGGTGATGTGAGGGGATCACAGTCAGACCGGCATTAGTTACCCCCATTCTTCTTCAGTTGGGCTCAGTTTGGAATGTAGCCGGAAGTACTGAAAACAATATATTGAATCTCCCCTGCCCCCAACTAATCCCCAAATTCTACCTCTACCTAAGATATTGAGGATAGAAATATATACATATAATATGTATGTCATATAAATATATATATCCATAATATCCATATATACATTTATACACATATAATAATCTATGGTCACATATATTTACATATACCATACATTTATATAGGTATACACATATTACTTACACACACATTTATGTTAACATATATGTTTACATATACATACACATGCACACACATGTATAAATATGTAAGTGGATATATACGCATATGTATGCCTGGATCTGGGATTCTATTCGTGTAGTGAATTGCTGGCATGGAAGCTTTTACCCCATTGACAACATTGACTGACAACTCATCTCTTTAGTCTTTTTTTTTTTTTTTTTTGGTGAGGCAATCGGGGTTAAGTGACTTGCTCAGGGTCACACAGCTAGTAAGTATCATGCGTCTGAGGCCGGATTTGAACTCAGGTCCTCCTGACCCCAAGGCAGGTGCTTTATACACTGTGTCACCTAGCTACCCCTTATCTCTTTAGTCTTAAAGAGTTGTTAGGTGACTTGCCCACAGTCACAGATAGTCAATCAATCAATCAACAAAATTATTAAGTATCTGTGTGCCCAGCAGCATGTGCTAGGACCTAATGGTCCCAAGAAAAAAAGCAAAAACAATCCCTGCCCTTGATGAGCTTACAGTCTAGTAGGGGAGTTGTATCCAGGGGTGGAGAACCTGCGGCCTCAAAGCCACATGTGGACCTCTAGGTCCTCAAATGCAGCCCTTTGACTAAATCCAAATTTCACAGAACAAATCCTTTTATTAAAGGAAGAAATATCTATCTATGCATCCATACACACACACACACACACACACACACACACACACAAGATACAAGTCTATAATTGGGAGGGAGGGAGGAAGCATTAAGTATAGCTGTGGGCATCAGGAAAGACTTCATGTACAATCTGGCACTTGAGCTCAGCCCTGAAGGAAACCAAAGTTTCTAAGAGATAAAGGAGGGACATCATTCTAGGAATGAAGGATAACCAGTGGAAAAGAGTATGGAAAAGGGAATTGAGTGCTATTTTGAGGAAATGTAGGAAGGAAGGTTTGATGAGATCAAAGTAGTAGTATACATGGAGGGGAATGATATGGAATCAGGCTGGAAAGATAGGTTGGGACCAGGTTGTGAAGGGAGTCACCAAAATTTACTGAGCAGAGGGAATTCACATCAGGCCTGTCCTTCATGAGGGAAATCACTTTGGCAGCTGAGTGAAGGGTATTAGGGAGAGACTCGAGGCAAGGATTATCAATTATTGAGACTCATGAGAGGTGATGAGGGCCTGAACTAGGTTGATAGTTGTATGAATAAATAGAGAAGGGGAGAGATGCTAAATGCCACAAGCGTGGCAAAGATAGCCGCCATTTACATAATTATCCTTCAGTGCTGGTATCACAGCAAATTGACCCACTGACTGTGCCAATAGAACATTTAAGGACACATGTGTTCAACAAGGAGGGATGGTGCCTCTCATACCACACTGAGCTTTTGATTGTCTCTGATTGCACTGCTCCCTGGACAACCTTTTCCCCCAAACCTCTATGCCTTCATTAAGTGAAGATCTAGCTCCTTAATGAAAATGAATTGCAGGCATTGTGGAAGTAGTATACTCAAGAAATCCCGTGATATATTTTACTGTTTAGTCATGGTTACCTGTAGGGACTCTATTGCTCCTTGTACCTAAAATCTGGGGCAAGATAAGACTGTCATTAAAGTATTTACAGAAGTTCATAACCCAATACCATTTAATGAATCCATGATGCCAATTTGGGGATGATAAGCAGCTCAGTGGTGTCACAGAAGATAGGGTGATGAACTTGGAGTTAGGAAGACCCAAGTTCAAAATTCAGCCTCAGTACTTAGTAGCTCTATTCCCCTGGCCAAATCACTTAAATCACTGTCTGACTCAGTTTCCTTATTTGTAGACTAAGGGTGATAATAATAATACCTACCTCCTAGGGTTGTTGTAAGTTTAAAATGAGAAAATATTTTTTGCAAACCTTAAAACACTACATAAACGCAATTAGCATTATTGTTGCTGTTGCTGCTGCTGTTACTGTTACAAGTCTAAATGAAGTCTGAATTTGAGCATACAATTTAATGCAAATTTGGTTCCAAGATATTCAATGGAAGACAGCATCTTGGGCACACTGGTTGCTGAAGTTGGAAGAGACCTAAGAAGCTACCTCTTCCAACCCGTACCAAACTAACAATCCCTCCAACAACATTTCCTTTTTTTAAAATTTTTAAAATTTTTTCATTTTTAGGCAATTGGGGTTAAGTGACTTGCCCAGGGTCACACAGCTTGTGTCAAGTGTTTGGTCTGAGGCCAAATTTGAACTCAGGTCCTCCTGGCTCCAGGGCTGGCACTCTATCCACTGCGCCACCTAGCTGCCCCCTGACAACATTTCCAACGAGTGATTATCTTGGCTTTTTTCTTGAAGATCTTTCATTTACAACCTACTTCCAGAGGCAGCTCATTCCAAAAGTATGACAGTTGTGACTGTTAGAAAATATTTTCTCATATTAAGCCTAAATTTGCCTCTCTGCAGCTCCCACTCATTGTTCCTTAATTGTGCCTTTGAGGGGCTGTATAGGATAATTCTCATCTGTCTTCCACATACTTGCTATTCAAATATTGTAACACAACTATCGTTTGCCCAGCCAACTGAGTCTTCCCTTTTTTAGGCTAAAACAACCTCAGCTCATTAGGTTCCTAGATTTAGAATTAGAAGGGAATTTAGAGCAATAAGCATCCAACTCCTTCGCTTTATAGGTAAGGAAATTAAGGCCCAGATTTCTGGGAGATCACACAAGGTAATGTGTTGTGGGAAAACTGTTTCTTTAATGTGTTTAGCATAGTGACTTCCCATTTTTTTTTTTGCCAGATAGCAATTCATAGACTCAGAAGAGAAAACTTATTGAAACATAGTCAGTCAGACCTTATTAATTTAGGCTAGATGGGAGAGAAGACAGTCTCAGCTCAGTTAGTGAAAACTCTGAATGATACAGTAAAAATTGTTTATTGTTTTATGCTACATGCTGATTTGAAAAGAAATGGATAAGAAGCTTTTTTTTCTTTTACCAGAGATTGTTTTTATAAGGTGAATTTTTAATGGATAAGGATAGCTTGTAAGAAGCACATTAATTGATGATATACAAATGAGTGCTGCTTGGTGTACAATTGCTGCTCTCTTAAATAGGTTAAAAATTTCCTTAGCAATTGGTTTTCACACAGCTAATTTGCTTAGCAAATCCTTTCTTCACAGAGGGTGTCTAGTTTTAAATTTCAGACCTTCCAGGGCCACATTCTCACAAATCTGAAAATTATGGGAACTGGTTAATAAAACAGCTAGGTAGCGCAGGGATAAGAGTGCTGGCCTAGAATTAGGAAGACCTGAGTTCAAATTCAACCTCATATACTTATTATTACTCTGGGCAAGTTACTTAAGCTTTCTGTCTGCCCAGTTTCCTCAATTAGAAAATGGTGATAATAATAATAGCAACCACTTCCCAGGGTGGTTGAGATAATATTTGCAAAGTGCATAGCACAGTGCCTGTACACATAGTAAGTGCTTCATAATACATGTATGTTTCCTTCCTTCCTTCCTTCCCTCCTTCCTTCCTTCCTTCCTCCCCTCCTTCCTTCCTTCCTTCCTTCCTTCCTTCCTTCCTTCCTTCCTTCCTTCC